TTCATGAAACCATCATAGTGGACAATAGTAGACACTACACCCATTTTAAGAGTGTGGAACACAAAGAAGACTAAAGGTAAGAAGAAGAAATAATGCAAATAGCTTCAGAGATTTAGGAGTGTGCAATGTGAGAACTTCAAAGAATGAAAGTAGTTTATTTATAATGAAGTCCATTGCTTTGAATATAATGCTCCCTCACATGGTTTCTGACGCACACAAAACCCAAACAAAGTGGGTGGGTCAACATCTTTTTAAATATGTTTGGATTCTTCTGCTTTTGTCTAACCCAATGCAGGGAATCCAAGATTGGAATCCTAACTTAGGTGGGTAACTCAGCATTGGATTCTTTACTTGTGTGCATCAGAAAGACATGGGAATCCTGGCTTGGGTGGGTGACTCAGCATTGTAAATAGTTGCAGGTTTTCTCACTTGAGCTAAAATTGACCAAGCTAAACGTCCAACGCAGTTAGCCACATAATGCAACTTGGGTCACCACATATTTCAATCACTTATCGCTCAAGCGAAAGTACCCGTCGCTTGAGCGACACAGAACCCGAGAGTCCCCCTTGTTTGAAGGCTTCATCGCTCAAGCGATGACTTTGTCGCTTGAGCGAGTGTTGACCGAATGATGAAACGTCAAACGCAGGTAGCCAAATAATATAACTTGGTTCACCACATATTAGAATCACTTGTCGCTCAAGCGTTCATAACGTCGCTTGAGCGAGACAGAACCCGAGAATCACCCATTTTTCCAGGTGTCCTCGCTCAAGCGATGTGTTTTTCGCTTGAGTGACCTTAGATAGCGGTTACCATAGAGAGGAATTTCTCTACAAAGGTTGAAGAAGTTGATCCACAAGAAATTGGAGAAAGAACCCCACGAAAATGTAGCAACCATCCATTTTCGCTGTCCAACTAGGCTCAGAGTTGGGATCAACAACTTCATTGCTGTTGAGTTAAAAGATGATGACGACGTGGAGGTCATGTTCGATGTTCATGATTCAAACTCAAGTCTATGTGGTATTGAAATTTTTGTTTCATTTAAAACTTCTTCTTCATACCCCAACACACACTCACCAGAAATACCCACACATAATGACAACATCCCTTTTACTCAACTTCTAAGTGGCCCTTCCACCAACATCAACGAAGAACTACCCACACAAGAGAACGAAATTGTTGGCCTCCCAATTGAAGTCGTTGATCCTTTTAGTGAGGATGAAGACGAAGATGAAATTCTCAGCCAACACCAAGATGATTCAGAGGACGAACAACCACATATCCCTACACATGCACCAAACTTCATGGAACCATACAACCCACCACAACATTTTCTTAACTTTGAAAATCACATTCAACAACAAGACCCAGAGTATGGTCATGCGTTGGACAGAGAGTCTTTTGTTTCTCCGGCAGGAACTCTATTTCTTGGACAATGTTTCATAACAAAAGAACAAGTTCAAGATGTCATCAACCGTTTTCACATTGTTAATCACTGCACATACAAGGTGAAAATTTCAAACCAAAGTAGATATGTTATTGAATGTGGTGATAACCAATGCAATTGGAGATGTCGAGCAATATTGCGCACAAGAGAGCAATATTGGGAGATTATGAAGCTTGAAGGGCACCATACATGCGTTTCGCCATTAATCAGCCAAGACCACAACAAGTTGGGATATAAAATGATTTCCCAAACAATTGGTCAAATAATTGATGCTGATTCGTCAACACCAATATCCACAATCATAGCCCACATCCAATTAACAACGGGTTACACTATAACATACAAAGGCCTGGTTGGCAAAACAAAAGGCAGTGGAGATCATCTACGGCAATTGGGAGGATTCGTATAAGAAGTTGCCTTGTTTGTTACAAGCGATGCAACAATTTGTTCCCGGATTCATCTACAAACTGCAGTCACAACCAGCTTACCAAGGTGAAGTCCTTCAACAAAATTCAAATATTTTTAAACGTGTTTTGGGCGTTTAGGTCATGCATAGATGGATTTGTTCACTGCAAGCCCATTATTCAAGTGGACAGAACTTTTTTGTATGGAAAATATAGAGGTACCTTGTTGGTTGCAGTAGCACAAGATGGCCGCAACAACATCCTCCCCATTGCGTTTGCAGTGGTTGAAGATGAAACAAGTGATGCCTGATTTTTTTTCTTAAAAAACCTTCAAAGATATGTCACACCCCAGCAAGGATTATGTCTCATATCAGACCGACATGAATCCATTAGAAGTGCATACATGAGAAATGGAAGCGGATGGACAGAAAATAATTCAATGCATGTCTACTGCATTAGACACATTGCACAGAATTTTATGAGTCATTTCAAAAACACCGCACCGAGGAAAGATGCTGTAAATATGGGTAATTCCTTTGCTTCAAATTTGTTACAATTTATTCATTATTTAATTGTTGCTAATAAATATTTATATTAACTATGTTTTTTTAATATTGTTGTAGCGTATGGGATGACTGAACCACGATTCTACTATTATTACAACATCTTGAGACAATGTGACATACAAACAGCTAATTGGTTGGATGAGATACCTAGAGAAAAATGGGCACTTGCATGGGACAATGGGTGACGTTGGGGCCACATGACGACCAACATAGCAGAGTCTATCAACTCTATTTTGAAAAAAACAAGAAATCTACCTATTTGCTCCATGGTCACCGCAACGTACACCCGTTGCAACAAATTTTTCATTGAAAGAGGGAGGCAGATAGATGCCATGATCAATGCTGATCATGTATACTCTGAAATTTTGGTCAAAAATTTAGAGGAAGCACAAACACGCACAGGGTCATAACGTTTGACAGGTCTACCACAAAATTTGTAGTAGAAGAAACGCAAAACCCGCGTGAAGTTCGACCAGCAGGGAAGTTTGCAGTTCACCTTGATGAGTTATGGTGTGACTGTGGGAAATTCCAAAAATTTCACATGCCTTGTTCACATGTTCTTGCTGCATGCACACCATGACTTCAACAACTATATTAATTCAGTGTATACCTTACAACAAATTTCAAAGGTATACGGAACACAATTTGGGTTATTGCGAAATGGAGAATATTGTCCAACATACACAAGACCTACTTTGTGTGCAAATCCAGAAATGAAAAGAACTTCAAATGGCCGATCAAAATCAAGTCGTATAAGAACTGAGATAGACATTACAGAACATCAAAGTATGATTAAAAAATGTTCATATTGTCATACCCCTGGTCATAACAGAAGAACATGTCTCAATGATGCATGTGCATTTACTTCGCATAATTAGATTGTGTTAGTTAAGAAATGTCTCAATGTATGAAACTTAGGAGTTTTTCAATTAATTGAAAGTGATGAAGATCTTATTGAATCATTTGATAAAACAAAGATCTTTTGAGTTTGATGAAATCAAAGGTTATTTAAGGAACTTTTTGCTAACTATTGACGCACATATCAGTCATACAACTCAATATAACAAGAATGAATGAAAACTCTCGTAATGAGACCACTCCACAGAATTGATGCTTGACAGCCCCACAACCTCAAGCACTTTAACCTAGAGTAACCAACCAACCATCAGTCAAGAAATTTTAAATTCTCTTTACATGCTATCATCCCCATATTCACCTTCAATGAATCAATTACAGTCAGCTCCAGGTAAAACAATACAAAAACAAGATAATTTCATAAACAGAACAAACTCCCCTTTTAGCAACATCATATAATGCAACCTGGGTCACCTGCAGGTTTCCTCGCTCAAGCGATGGGCTTCTCGCTTAAGCGATAATTGACCATAGCTAAACGTCCAATGCAGTTAGCCACATAATGCAACCTGGGTCACCACATATTTCAATCACTTTTCATTCAAGCGAAAATACCCGTCGCTTGAGCGATAATTGACCCAAGACTTTAGATAACGGTTCTAGAACAAACCGCTATTACAAGTATATTTTACATAGCGGTTAATGTGGAACCGCTATTATATGTCGATTATTTTTAAAACTATGATCGATTATTTCACGTTATAATCAATTATAAATTTATTCGCTCAAGCGATGAGTGTCTCGCTTGAGCGAGAGTTGCCCACGGTCCAACTATATGTCTCACTTTTAAGAGCAGTTAATATTTTAACCGCTCTTAGAAGTGAACATATAATAGTGGTTCCACGTTAACCGCTATCTAAAATATATTTTTAATTGCGGTTAGTTCTAGAATCGCTATCTAAAGTCTCGGGTCAACTCTCGCTCAAGCGACGGATATTTCGCTTGAGCGAAAAGTGATTGAAATATGTGGTGACCCAAGTTGCATTATTTGGCTAAACGTCCAACGCAGTTAGCCACATAACGCAACTTGAATCACCACATATTTTAATCACTTATCGCTCAAGCGAAATATCCGTCGTTTGAGCGAGAGTTGACCGGAGATAACCCTTTCTTACGGATTTCCTCACTCAAGCGAAGGGTTTCTTCGCTTGAGCGAGAGTTCTTTGCGCAAAATAATATTATTTTAATACGTGAACAGTAAACAGTTGCACAAAATAATATTATTTTAATCCGTGAACAGTAAACCGTGCTAGTTGTGTAAATAAAGTTGCAGAGGTGCTATTTTGGAAAATATTTTTAAAAACAGTATTATTTATGAAAAAAAGTCAAGAAGTTAATGAAGATATTATGAAAGTGCATGAATCAATTGCATATTTAATTTGATCCCACCATAAACAGGAAAGAAAGTATGGGCTATGTAACCAAATGCGGGACTAATTTCAGGATTGTCAGTATCCGATAACCATAAACTGCAAATTTACAAATCGAAAAATCATCTTTACAAATTTTGTACGATGAAAAAAATGGGTCTTACCAGAAGCTAGTTGCAGTCCTGCTACACCGCCAAGAAATTATCTGCCTTGGAGAAGCGTCAAACTACGACACCATGGAACTACCCAAAGCCAGGATCCCATTTTTTATACATAGAAAACAGGTAAAGTCACCACTCGAGCCTTAAAAGTCCCATCTCTTCTTAATCCGAAACATCAAAACAGAAGATTTTATGTTTTCTTGTGGCACTTGAAGCATGAATTGAACTTTCATCTGCATCGGAGCTGTTTTGGCTTTCCCACCTTCATCTCCAACCTGAATGAACCTATTGTGGTCACTCCGAGTAACATATAATAAACTCAATATACTTCTGGTAGAGTACATGCATGCATACCTTATGCAGGAGGCAAGTATTATGTGGTGCCTAAATATAAAACAACAAAGCAGGTGCCATGTATTTCCGAAAGCTATCAACCATTACAGACTGGAATATAAGTACTCAAACTTAATAGTCAGATAATAATCTGATAGAAACTAGGTCAGAACTCTATTAACAAAAAAAAAAAAATACAAAAATACAAAAGATTGGCAGAACTTTCAAGAGGCATGAACTCTCCTACAACAATCTGAATTGACTCTCAAATCACAAGATAAATCCTTCTCATCCTTTTAACTTATTTATATGCAACATGTGCTGTTTCTCTAAGTAGCTCAGTCCTAAACTTACTAACTCTAATTTTTCTACTAATTGACTATGTTCCTAACGCTGGATTAGCTGCACTGAGTGAGGGATCGGGGACCATGTAAAGAAGCTACCACTAGAAGTATGCAAATCTACTGATATTCTATTAGTTCTTTGACAGATTTATGTCTTGGATCAAATAAACATTAAAGACAATAATACTGATGTAAGTATGCATGTCATTGCCAAGCATTAATATCTGAGAGATGAAACGACTGTGTTATTAAAAAATAACTAGGAATTGCAATTATAACAAGAGCCATCAATGATATTGGGTAAGAATTACATAATTGCAAAATGAGGCATTTACCCAAAGAGATGCCCAGCCAAGGCGAACATCTGAATCGTAACCAGCTTTAAATTTGAAATCTTTACCATAGGTGCGCTTGTAGACAGCACTCCAATCGTTGGAATCAAAATTATACCAGTAACTATACATCAAGCATTTAAAATCGATACATCAGTCAAGTGTCAAACTGATTATTTGATTAAATTAAAATTTCTCATAATGCTAAAATACAAAAAATTCAGAGCAGGTAATCATCATATGAATTTGTTAAACAAACAGGAATATAAAACAATAGCTGCTATGATGAAAGAAATGGGTTTATGTTGCCATTTTTACTGGGATTTTAGCTTTAACTTACAAGGTTAAAATTAAAAAATTGAGTAAGCTAAATAATAACTAAACATGAATTTTCAGCCACATCAGGTAGCAAGAGTATAGAATAAGATTTTTTCCAATTTCACTACCATTGCACCAGTAAACTCTGCATAAAAGTATTGACAAGTAAAGACCACAATCTTATGCAGAAGGTTTAAAAAAGAACAAGCTCACAGATTTTGGTAGATACAGTCTTGTTACTAAAAGAGATGCTAAAATGAGAATTGGAAATAGGAGAACTTAATGATTATTACTTTTCCATGTAGCCTAGTTATTCAACATCCTCCTTAGTTCCTGCTAAATGATGATAAACACCTCTAGTACAAACACATTACTGTTAGAACACACTCACAAAATAAAAAGTATAGAAAAGAAGGGAGAGAGAACATGAGATATGGGTGAAGAATCAGAAATTTTAATTCACACTTCTATGTGAAAAGAGAAAGTCTTTTAGTCAAATGTTTTTCTCGAAAATAAATTTTGCTTGAGGACAAGCATAGAGCTAGGTTTGGGGAGAGTTTGTTAAGTGTCAAAATTAAGTAAAAATAAATATCAAAATTGTAACTCAAATGCAGTTAAATGAAATAAATTCCTCTCAAAATAATTAGAAAAGACCCAATCTTAAGTTAATATATAAATATTAATTTTATATTAAAGGAGAAACAAAAATGAGAAGAGAAAAAAGAAAAAGGAAGAGAACAAATCTTGGAATTGGATAGGAAGAAGAGAATTCTCAAAACAAAAATATAACTATTTATTTGAAAATTCTCAACAAAACCCAAGATTTTGTTCTTAGCCAGGCCTCATTATAGTGATCCGCCAGTCACATTACAGCATGGCTATTTATAGTACAGTTACAAGTAGTTAGTTAACAAACCACTAACAAACATACAAAACTACATGAATTATCTACAACACTCTCCCCTGATCCACATTAGCAATAGATTGCACTCCTATCATTTCCCTAATAAGCTTGAATCAGTGAGTTTCAAGAGGCTTTGTTAGAATATCAGTCACCTGTTGTAGTATATTAACTGTAAATTTACTTTAGGAAGTGAATCTTGTCTCAACATATCGTACCATATCAACTCTAGATTTCCTCTAGGAAGTGAATCTTGTCTCAACACGTTTGCTCCTTCCATGAGCAACATGATGTTTAGCCAAGCTTATTGCTGACTTGTTGACTGTACCATCTTCATAAGCTCTTCATTTCTAACATCAAGTTCTCAAGCAACAAGATATGACTAACTCCCATTGAGACTGTAACGTATTCGGCATCACATGAAGACAAGGCCAGCAGGGACTCCTTAGAAAACCATCAAATAGGTGCAGCACACATCATAAACACATAGACTGCTTACTTCTTCTATCACTTTTTTCAATTTATATACCTTATCTTCATGCTCTATCACCTCAAAACCAGGAGGTTACACAAAACTCCTCTTCCAACCTAGTAGCCCAATTAGAAAAAGGCTAACTTTACATCAAATTTATGTAAATTGTAATGACTAACCTCTCAAAGTGGTTGTAGCAATCACTTTCGATGGTTTCAATTATTACCATAGGTGCAAACACTTCATTGTAATTCAAACAGTCATTTGCAAAAACACCTTTGCAACCAGCCCGACTTTGCAACTTCTCCCATTGGTTTTACCTTCATTTATAGACCCAATTACATCCAATAGACCCTTATGAGGTAATATGACCAGTTCTCATGTGCGAGTTTTCTCAATAGTCTTTAACACTTCACCATTTGATTGCTTGCTCGAACAGTATTGATTAAGTTTCAGCCAATATATCCAAGTGCATCATGTCACCATCTTAGTTGCGGATGAATGCTATAGCAATAAAGGAAAGCAAGTGAAAGATATTTTATGGCCAAACTAAGCAGGGTCAATTAACGACAGAAGATTCACTAATAACCTTTCTCGGAGAAAACTAGTTACTAGGAGAAGAAAAAAGCATTATATTGTGGCTCAATGTAGTGTTGAAACTGAGTTCCAATCTGTTAGAATAGTTTATCTTATTGGTTAACTTGTTGAGATAGGTTAAATTGTCTTCTCTAAAAGCTGTTTTTACTTGTTAAGCTTGTGGCCCATAAGTGTAGCCTTTTGCCTCTACACTCTTTGTAATTCTGGTGTACTTGCTCCTATAAATAAATGGATAATCTAAGAGAACTAATCTCTTAAGCTCTTTTATCATATTTTCGGTCTTAAATCAATATGTGGCATAAAATTAGGGATGGTAAAACGAGTCAGACCCGCGAACCGCTATAATATGGCAGAATGGATTGATGTTTTCAGTCCACCAGCCTATTCTAGCATGCTCTAGCCCGCCCTGCCAAGCCCATCAACCCGTAGGGCCAACCCGCGTGAGAGGGGACCAGCCCACGACCTGCCTAATTAATAAAAAAATATTTTTTTTATTATAATACAATTAATCATAAAAATAATATATAAAATTAAAATTTATAAAAAGAGAATTAAAAAAGTTTCACTCTCACTCGTTATAAGAAACATTCACCTTACTAAAACACAAACTCCTCTTCTCCTGGTTGCTCATCATTTTCTCTTTGTTCATCATAAGCATCGATTATTCTTACTCTTATGACTTGAATTAAAGATATAAGAATTACTCAAGAGAGAACAATGTGAAATTTTATCAAATAAAAAAGATATAGGCATTTGAATTTTTTCAATATAAAAAATATAAATTTTACAAGTTTTGATGTTATTTATATATATATATATATATATATATATTTGTTATTACTTATTATTATATAAATTTTATTATTATTCTAAATTATAATTTCTTAAAATAGTGTGTTGATTTATTTTATTATTATATAAATTTTATTATTATTCTAAATTATAATTTCTTAAAATAGTGTGTTGATTTATATCATTAAATTGAAATATATATATATATATAAGTTGAATTATTGATAAATAAATGAAAATATTATTATTAAATTTATTGAAAATTTTGATTTTAAAAAAATATTTTTTTTTTAATTATGGTGGGACGGACCAAGGTCTCTATCCCATCATGACTATAGCGGACCAACCTGTCCCACCCCGATTTTGGTAGGCCAAAGGCAGGTCAGGCCAAAACAAGGCAGATTGGCCCATTTAGCCATCCCTATACAAGATACACATGAAATGCTTTGGTGGAATCTTAGAAGGCCTAAAGATTAAATGGGATGGACCTATAGGACTCTATTGTGATAATAAGCAACAGTTTTCAGCATGAACAAACCAAACACATTAAAGTGGATAGGCATTTTATTTAGGAAAATCTTGATTGTAATTTAATTTGTACTCCATATGTACGTTCAAAAGGTAAATTTGTAGGTATTCCCAAAATATTGTGGAATCCAGTTTTGTAAGGATTTTTAGATAGATCTTACGTTATTGTGTGTAAGGTTTTGCAATACATAAGATTTAGATAATTCAAACGAAGATGTGCCGAACAAGTATCATAGCAAGTTTCAAATACACATCTTTCTATATTGGTAAAGATTGTATCCCATGTTATGGTATGTAGATGGATAAACTGAACCCATTAGTCAAGTATCAACAATATGACAACAATTATATAGCCCAATAATTACAGCATGCAATATGTACTTACAATTCTTTCCATATATAGCTTTTTCTCAACTCAATCAAAAGGAAATTCTCTCACCTACCGAGAAATTAGAGAGCAACAAAAACAGTGAATATATATAAATGAAAGGTTCTTAAGAGAGTGTTATAACCTTAACTTTTGAGAAGGACCAAACCGACGCTTAAAAGCAAATGACAGAGCATTTGAAGGAAGTGAAAGTACTGGAAGAAATGACATTTCGTCGTCCTGCATTTATTTAAAACATTCAACAGCAGGCACAAGGTAGTATCTCACAATCAAATACCAATGATGGGCAAAATAAAGATACATAACGCAAAAAATTTAAGATGCACACGAAGAGCAATACTCTCCCTATTATACTTTTTACTATTAGTTGAAATATATTAGAAAATACAAAATTTTGTGGGGATCACTCAAGATTTCGTAGTTCCAAATAAATTTGTTAGAATGAGCGTGGAGTGTGTGTTAGCACTTCCCCTTTGTCAGGATCATAATGATGGGGATGTATGTAAGTAGTAAAGTTCCACAAACAATAATCCTAAAACCAGGAAAGTACCTTATAGCCGTATTTCAATTTCAGTTCTTCATCTTTGTACTGGGCAGATAAGACTCCATTCAATAATTGTCCTTTGAGAGTTCCACTGACTGACAACAATCTCTTGACCTCCTCTTCTTCTTTCTCTTGCAAAGAAACTTCACCTAAAGGAAATCTCAAGGTTGCTTTTGGCTGCAGATAGAATTCAAACAAGATAAGGATTAAATATACTATTAGAAATGTGTTTTTGCGTTTGTTTCCAAGATGAATCATGACACAGACCAATCCAACGGATGGAACTGGTGTTGATAGTTGAAGTGAATAGCCAGGATGGGCGATGTTTGCAAGCACAGTAACCTCTCCTTGTTGAGCCTTAAGAGAAGAAAGAGCAGAAGGTGAGAATGTGAAGAATTAAAAGATACGGAGCTGCAGAGGAAGAAATTTGACCTTGACATCGTGAACACCAGTGAGTTGCAATCTGGGACCAACGTCAATGGAAGTCTTAACGAGAGCATTATGGTCTTCGAGGTCGTACTGGAGGCTAAGGTGCTTGGATACGAAACTGATTTGGGGTTCGGAGATGTTGCCTTTGCCGCCGTGGTTGAATGAAAACTTGAACTTGGCAAGACTGTCCAACAACTTGCAAGAAATTTTATGGAAGAAGACTGCGCTTTCACTATCGAACTCAGATGTAACTCTGAGAGCTGGTCTCCTCGGAAATGAGAAGAGGGGTTGCTTGCAGTTGTGGGTAGATGCCACTGCCAGAGGCAACTGTGACTGTGGCTCAACCGCCGCCGGTGCAGGTGCGGCAGGGGATGAGACCATGATGTAATTAGGGTTTCCAGCTGCCGATTCCATCTCCACCAATTGATTCTCTCTCGTTACCATGAACGCTACTCCTCTTCTACACCGCTATTTCTAGGGTCGCCAGCCACTATTAAAAGCTAATGTTTTTTTGGATAAAAAATCTACCTCCATCAATTTTTGCGACGCCTCGTTCGCAAAAACAAAATCTGATCAGACAGCCTCAACTTTTCTTTGCATTAATTATTTTATTTTGGACTTAAATACAGTTAAAAATAATTGTTTCCATCTTTTAAATTAAAAAATATATATTTTTTATATTACGCGACATTTATTAACTTTTAGTGTTAAACGAAGGGTAATCTTATATGTCAGTCAACTAGTTATACAAAATAACTATTTTTTAATAAAATTCTAAAATAAATGCTATTTTAACAAATATTTTAAACAAAATTCATTTGTCACACAAATTTTATGTATAATGCTCGGTAGTTTTTTTTTTTCACATTTTGCTCTTTATTAAAAAATTTATTTTGAATTTATTCTTTATTGTTTATTATTACGTGATGACATGTTTCTAGGCATTTGTTTGCTTTTGTCAATTTCTTGTTTAAGAGCAAGAGAAATGTCAAGTAATAGTTTGGACATGTAAAAAAACACCTGTTGCTGTTTACATGGAAATTGAGTAAGATTCGTAACTCACCTCATTTGTATATTTAGAAATGATAATCAATTATGAGTTGTTATATGTAGTTGATTAAGTTTAAACAAATAATTGATTATATATTGATTCATGATTATTTGTTATCGAACGAACCTCTCAATTTTATGATGGAGAAATTTTCTTAGTTGGAATGAAAAATACGCATGAGGAAAAAAAAACATTTTTCAAGAACGAGAATAAATTAGAGTAGCCATGTGCCGAAAAAAGTGTGAGTAGGAACATGATTAAACATGACAAAAGAGATGAGGGCGGGTTTTATCTTCCTAGTTTTTTTTTTCTATTTTGTTAATCATTTCTGTCATGTTTTGAATTTATATTATTTTTAAAAAAATAATTATATTTATAATAAATTAATTTTATTATGTATTTTTTATATATAAATAAATATTTATAATTTATAATTATTATTAATTATATATATATTTAATTTATTATATTTATATTAAAATATGTATGTAAAAAATATTTAATCATTATATATAGAAAGAATTTTTATAATAATAATAATATTATTATTATTATAACTATATTTGAATACTTATAGTATTATTATTATAATACTTGTATTTAAACATTTGATTATATGTATAAGTTAATTTATTTTTAAGTTGTCATTTAAAAATATGAAATATATAGCTTATAAAAAAATATTTAATAAGTTAATTTTTATTTAATTAGTTTAAAGTAATAAAAATTTAAATTATTAATTCTTTTTAATATTTTAAAATACAATTTTTTTATAAAGATAAAATTTGATATATGATAAATAAGAATAATAAGATAAAAAATTATGACATAATAAAACCTAATAAATATAAATTATAAATAAAATAATATTAGTTATTACTAAGAGTTATGTAAAATATTTAGAAAAGGATAAAAAAAAATTAACTTTGTGTTCATCAAATTGGTTGAAAAGATTAAAAAAATAATTGATGGGAGTGATTAAAAAAATGTGAAAAACAAAAAGGTAAGAAAGAAAATAATGTAATAAATTAATTGATATAAAAGATTAAAAAAGATAAAAAAATAAAAAGTGTGAAGAAAAATAAAAATGGTGAAATATAAAAAAAATAATAGAAATAGAAAAAAAAATATTTTTAAAATATTAATATTTTAAAATTTAAATTTAAATATAAAATCGGGGTGAGGACAAGATGAGGATTACATTACTCATCCCCGCCACCACCTCTCGACTTTTTAAAGTGGAGAAAACTAGAACATGTCCCCGTCCCCGATCAACTCGGATTTTTCACGTCAAACTCGAACGGGAATGGATTGATTCCCACGAATACGGTTTTAATTGTCATCCTTATTCTTGAGTGTCATGACTAGGACTCTAATTCTAGCCAATGATAAGAATTTTTTTAATTGTTTTATTTGAATTTACTTTAAACTATAATATATTTACATGATAATAAATAACACAGGTGTTAAAATTCTGTAAAAATAGACTTGAAATTGATAATATTTTAAGTATGTTTATTAATTCTAATTTTTTATGTAGTCTATATTTTGAACTTTTTTATCATATAAATTATATAAATATTTATAATATATAAAAGTGTATCTTTAACTCTAAATTGAGTTCACTGGGTATTCCAATGAATTAAGAATGGTTAAAAAGTAAAAAATATTTACATTTAAACCTATCTTTCGAATTGAAACAAATTTGTTATTTAGTTAGTATTAATGATTTTAGCTGAATGTATTTAACATATTATTGTCAATCTAAACTATAATGTATATATTTAAAAAAAAAAAAAATCTACCAATTCAGAATTTTTTTTAAGACGGTGGAAGACTTATTCCGTGTCCCAGACTAGGTTCCTCCGCTTATATGCGTTACTAGGAAAGTAGGCTTCAGCGTATCTTTGGGAGCTGGTTTGTGAAAGAAATAATCTTTAAGAAAAGAAGAGGGTAATTTTCCTTCTAAAAGCTTTTAAAAAATGACTTTTTCAAAAATTAGAACTAACACACAATCAATAGAAAGGGATTATGACAACCTAACCTGTTCTAAGGCAGAAAGAGCTTTCGTATGTTCATCAACAATATAAAAAATGCCTCTTATACGGTGCATGTGTCATTGACATTTCTCTCCTACCATTTAGGCATTTTTGAATGTCCAAGACATAAACCACTCGAGGAAGTGTGGAACTACAAAATTTCTTGAACTAATCTATATAGTTAGCTTATTTGATTTCTTTTAGCACTGTTGGATTTTGAGTCAAGTCGAGCTGGCTTAGCAGCCATGCAGTGGCGCACATGAATTTGCTGACATGAAGTTCGGACGGAAGAACTGCCTTGTACATGAACAACCAAAATCACTTCCTTATCTCGGGTGTCTTCATTCCACCAGGTCTGTGGTACGCCATTTGCAGATTCTTCTAAGGGGTGAACATCTTCATGACGGACTGAAACCTCTACATTTTGCTCAGGTTTAATTACGCCCGCAGCTGGAGTAACCTAATTAAAAGACATTTCAAAGTAGCATGATTGTCAATCTGTAAAGTCATGGCAGTTCAAATAAGCCAATGAATCCTAAATGCTAACTAATGAACCTTTTAATCCATTGACAAATTACAAAGCAACATTTAATGAATCCCTCGCATTTTATGATACTAATTAAACACTTTTGTGTTAAATGACTATTTCAAATTATGACTTGTGTTAATAATGAAAGCATGATCTGTTCTAAAATATTTTTCTTTTTTCCGAGGGAGGTCCATAATAAGGAAGAAGAGGAAAAGGGCCTCATATTCACAATTCATGGCCTGCAACTTAACTAACAAAGCCGACTCAAGCAGACTGAAAATTGTTTAATTTAAAAGAATCACCCAAACTTTACACATGTGGTAGGATTTGCATCTAAATTCCTTGCCAACTGTGAACAAAAAATGAATTGATAATTTAAGTTAAAATTTAAGTTAAAGATACAATACCTCAAGCCATCTAGGAAAGCCAAAGCCACCTCTTGGGCTATAATCAGCTGCCTGTCCATCATTCTTGACTATAGACTGGCCTTGACAAGTAATTTTATATATAGCCTTATCCTTTGTACTTCTGTTTGTAATAAGCAAGAACGACGTGTCCAGGTTTTGAATGACTAAACTGTTTGGGCTGACAGTGGCTTCTGGAACATAACATAAATCTTCAAGAACAGATCTTATTTTCTCATTTGATGTCATAAGTACCCCAAACTCCTTTCTCCTTATTGATCTATCAACATGAGAAATTTTTACATTGAATTTACACCGGACAGGTTTGTGATCACTATCAGTCACATCCATGCAAGCATCATACCTGTTAAACGGTTTCAGTGATGACAAACTGTATCCAACAGGAAAAGCAGAAAACAGAAAGAAATTGTGACCATGTAACATACTGTAAAATTGATGACACGACAGGGCAGTCTAAATTGCACTCAGAAGCTGGACCAGCCCGAGTATCACGGTATATTATTCTGTCACACCAGGCCGGAATTCGCTTTTTCTCTCCAGAATCATACCCTGAAAAAATGAGTTATTGCATTGTAGAAACTGTCATGTTCATTGGGTTCCTATTTTGGAATCACTTAGTGAGGAACCAAACTGAAATCAACTCTAACAAATAGGAACCAAAAGCAGTACTTGACATGCCATCTATTTACCTCCTAAACCTGGTTGGTGTCTCTCAAATTTATATGTTGGAGGAAATTTTATAAGTGCCTCCCGCATTCCCTGGAAAACTTTTCCAGCTTTCATCTCTGCCCTCAGCTGATCCTTTTCTCTAAGCCAATCAAAGCATCTTTGAGAAACAAAGTCTCTAGCTTCATCATAAGATATACCAAAAAGGCGATAGTTGAAATCACCAAAAAATACCACCATATCTGCTTCAGATAAATCAGGTTTTGGTTCTTCAGAGCTTCCGCCCGTAGCCTACGATACACACAATGAAGACCATGAACTGCCATGAACTTACGAGGATGATATTGATGGAAAGGCATGATGATGGAGATAATCAAGATCTAAGCTGTAAGCGTAAGACTCACATTGGTACCACGAAGCACATGAACAGCAGTAGAGACGCCAGCTGTAACAGAGAGGACCAATGGCAAGCCAGAAGAGTAAAGCAGCCAAAATAAATATGTGGAGAAGGCAAGAGAGCAAAGCAAGAACAGGTATGGTACCATACCAGCTGCAGTATTAAGTAGGTTGGATGATCGGGTGAACACCATATTTCGATAAATGTGATCAAAATCAGCATTCCGCCGATTAACTGCTTCCAAATGTGCAGCCAAGTGACAATTGACAAAGCACATTATCCTGTCATACACTCTGATTCTCAAACCAACTCCTCCCTGCTTGATCAAATTTTGCCATGTAGTAAGTGTTTATTTCAATGAAGAAAAAAAAAAAAATCAACGTTAGGAAGAGAAAAAAGTTCATTGGCAGAATCTTTTTTCTTTTTCCCAATCTGGTGCTTGTAAAGCAACATCAATACCACGTTCTTACGAAGTAGTTAGAGGAATTGATACGAACCTTATTACCAATTGCGCGTCCAAAACCACACGGGACAGCCCCAGCATCAATGTCTCCAACATGTGTTCTAAGATTCTTTCTTACCCTAATTGAGAAATGTCAACTCATAATATAAGAATGGAAACAATATTGAAGATAGATATCCAAAGTATATAACAGGAAGAAAACAAGAACAGAAATTTACTAGACTAACTAGTTTAATCTGGAACACACTTTAATTCCAATCACTCACCAAAGAGATACAAGCAAGCCAGCAAGTTGCCTAGAGCCCATGCGTTCAAAAGCTTTCCCTTCTTCTAAAGCCTTTCCTATTGTATCCAGCCACCACTGCCCCATTGCACTTCCTTCAAGACCAACCTACAATTGTGAAATAGGCAGTGGATGCATGAGCAGAATATACACATTACGGAACATAAGTGGTTATATGCAAAACTTGATTAGAAATTTTGTTATTGGTTTCATTTAGGATGCGGGCTGTCATCTTATTGTGTACAAACTAACTCCTGTTAATTCTATTAATCAGCAGTCATATTTCTCCTTCTCATATTTTAGAGTAAAGCAAAAGCTTCTGTTTACGAATAAAAATGCAATAGTTAGATACAGGTGGCAAATGAAGGACATCTTATCCTACAGTTTCTTTTGCTGCAGACATTGCAAGAAAACCGGCACCCATCTCCACTTCTTGCAAACCAACGACAACAATGCCTACATCTGAGGCGATGGAACCCAGCCATGAGGAGAGTGAATCCTGAGAAGCTCTCCCTTGACCGACATTCCATGTGCCAATCAAAATTCTGACATTGTGCCGCCGTGTATAAATAAGTTCCTTTGCGGCCAACTCGGCTCTTATCATGTTGTCAACAGGACCTGGAGAAGCAATAATCCATCCCCGTAGGCCACCATGCGTAGCCAAGCTAAAAACATAATCACAGCCAACAGCCAGTTTGATGACAGGACCATTATGAGCAACCCATGCGGCAATGAGATTGCCTTCTAGGTCCAGTACTTGGATAATACCACTCACATAGCCAACATATAAGCGTGTTCCAAAAGTACAGAAGCATTGGATAGCACAGGGGTGGCGGTTGAAATCCTGCAAACGGGTCCCAGTGCCATCCCATTGCACAAGTAAGCCATTGGTACATCCACTCCAAATCATTCCATCGCCTGTTTGGACAAGAGCTTCGGTTCTTTTGGTATCATCCACAAATGCCCCAGCGCCCTTGGTGGCAACTCGACGCACGGCATCAGCAGCTCCCATTATGGCATTACGTGAGCGCTGTAGAAAGCTAGTCTGGGATTTCTCCTTTTTGGAGTTGGAAACAAACTTGACTTTCATTTCGTCTTCAACGGCTTGATCCTGCTGCTGCACGGATGACATGTCAACTCGATTTTCCACCTGACCTTCAATGTTAAATACTTTGAGAAGCTCCTTTGTGCGGGCATCCCAGAGTGAGAAGGAGAGAGGGCCAGCGCACCAGATTCGACCTTTGATATGGTCACTCAGCAAAGACTTGACATCTTGAGAAGATATGCTGCAGACGCCGTTGACGGTCACTTGGCTACGGAGGTCAACGAAGGACCTCTCGACAAGCAAGGCTGCCATGTGTCTTTCTTCGGGAGAGAGGGAAAGAGATTTTTCGACGGATTCCCATGGCCAGATCTTAAGAACACCCCCTTCAGAACCCGACCAGAGATCGCCAAAGGAACTTATGGCAATGGAAAGAACGGGACCTCTGTGTGCCTGCCAAGAAAGACCTTCCTTGAAGGGGGTAGCAAAGCGTTGATCCATTTTCCAAGACCTGATCTTGCCATCCTTATGGCCACTCCACACCAACCTATTCCCATTGTCGACGGCCAAACACAAGGTGGGAGAGGTATCCGCTGATTCAAAAAAGGGAGCAGCGTCCTCGTCGCCCCTTCTGACCTTTCCGCCTAGACCACTGCCGGGCTCGTAGGAGTTCTGAATTTCCCACACCCTCACTCCGCCTTCCTGACCAGCCCACAACTGTGTTTCCGTACAAGCAATGTTCCTCAGGAATTTGCCCACCTGAGTCTCCCTCAAGGGATGGGGCCTTAACTCCAGGCATGGCGGTCTCCCTGGATGAACGGACGCTCTAAAAGGAGCCTTAAAGACCCCAGTGCCGCCCCCACTGCCAATGAATTCCTGCAATGGTTGGTATTGTGTCGCGTCATTGCCTTCATTGTACTCTTCCTCACCACCACCGTGGTTTCTAGAAGATGAACGGGAAAATATGTCGTCATCGGAGTCGGACTCGTAAAACGAAGACTCGATGTTACTGGATATACGGCTGTCGTCCAGACTGTGCTTTCGGACTCGTTGGTGCCGTTTGTGCGTCGAGGCGCCTCGCAGCTGTTGGCTGTATGAATGGGCTTTCCGGTGAGGTGGAAGAGAGGTCAAGCCCGCCAACTCCTTGTCACTCTCGTCCTCGTCGATTCGGTCATCCATGTCTCTCTAACGGCAACTTGTTTGTTCCAAGTTATGGAAGGAGGAAGATTGGTACGATAGGAAGAGAAGAGAGAGAGAAAGAAGATGAAGAATGAAGGAAATGGTCTCAAGGGGTTGCCGAGAGAGAGGGAAGCACGTAAGAATTTTGACCACCGTGAAGTAAGGCGCGGCATACTGCAAGCTTACGGACAAAAATCAATGTTTCCTTTCTTTTCTTAACTCTGAATGAACGAATGGGATGATCATCGATGACTCGCTCCTTTTTTTTTTTTTTTTAATTTGCTATTTTATTTCTAAAAAAATTATTTAAATGTTTATATTGCAAATAAACGAATATTTCTTTTTAAATATTTAAAGTTTAAAATGGTCTTTTCTATTCATCGATTATAATTTTCTTTTATGAAATTCGAGTACAAGAATATTTATAATCCTAAATAAAAAAACAAAAACTTCCACATTTGTAATGAACATAAACTTAACCTTAGTAAAAAATATTTAAAAATATGATTTAATATATTTTTAGATGACTTAGATTCCCACCTTATGTTTAATATGTTCAAATTTCTAGTATAATTTTTTATTCAATGAAAAAAAGAAAATCACAAGTTAAGAGGAGGAGGAATCACATGGGGCACCATCACAACCAATATTATTAAAGAGGAACGAAGATTCCATCCTATTATTACACTAATATAATAATATTATTTAATATTATATTAATTTTTTGGATTGTCTTTAAGATATATATATATATATATATATATATATATATATTATTGTTTCGGGTGGAATTTTGATTAATTGCGATTCTTAAGAGGTTTTGATTCTAACCAAAACTCAACCACGTAGATTCTTTATACTTAGGTTAGCAATTGAATTTCAATCGAAATGCGTATGAGAATAAAAAATACCACTGTATAGAAAATACTAAGATTAAATAATCGAAAGCACTATTTTTGGTATTTTGTATTTGAAGTACTCGAAATAAGGAAAACAGTAAAGTGACAAATCGAAAAGCAATACCGAATGTAAAACTGTGAAGGAATGAAAAATGCGGAAACCTCAAATTTGCATTAAGTGTAAACGACAAAGCATCGAAATTGTGGAAATATAAATAACAGGAAATTGAAATTACAGAAATGTAAATAGCAGGAAATCGAGATTGCAGAAATGTAAATGGCAGGAAATCGAGATTACAGAAATGTAAATGGCAGGAAATCGAAATTACGTTAATGTAAATGACAATGAACTTAAACGCAGAAACTTAACTTTCATTAAAGAGAAATGACAAGGAATCGAAAATACAGAAACTTAAAGTTGTTAAACATAAACTGCATCAAAGCAAATTACCAGGGAAAATAAAGAAAATGGTAAAGGAAATCAATGAACATGGAAATCCAGATCGCCAGAAACTTCATGATGTTCGTCGTTCTCCGGTAGACTTCTCACTAGTATTCCTGCTCTCTCTGCCAATTTCCACCTCCTTCTTCCTTCATCTTTCACATCCTTTAAGCAAGTAACCTCTTAGGAGCAGTTAACGAAAACTGCTACCACATCCTACGTGCATGTTGCAGTTTCTTCTTCGGTATCAAAACTGCACCCACATTCCCATGATCTTCGACCTCTGCCACAGTTTAGAAACTATTTCCTATGTGCGCGTTTAACTGTTCCCCTCTTTATGACCTAGCCGGGATTTCGATATCCACGCAGGTTAGCCTTCCTCTTGATTTTGATCTCTTGATCTCGAGAACTTTGAATTGCTCTTGGTTTTCCTTAACTTTAACATTACAAATTTTTAATTTCTCGAAAACATTCTTCCTTCGATTTCTCGATTCTAATTCTCGATCATATTGTCACATGGTCGTCGAACGTATTTTCCAACTATCTTTCGATTTATCAGTCTTTAACTCAATTAAAATGGTTTTCGATTTTTTTTTCTCCCATTTGTTTCTCGATCCCTTTATCGATTTCTCACTAACAATTACAAACAATTTTTTGGGAATACAAGAAGTTGCATAGATATGGATGATATTACAAAATTAATCAACCAAATTTTACTGATCCTATTAAGCATCCTTCCCTTCCACGAGGTTAACCTCCCATGAATCAAAATAACTTGAAAGGTGCGCATCATGTAGACTAAAGTTGTTGTTTTATCCACTGAAAACTCCGTTAGAGAACATGAACTTCGATTTTTTGAAAATCCACTGGGTGGATAGAAATCATATACATAAGTTAAGCGTGTTAGAAATCAAATAAAAACTGAAAATCCTTAGTCTTGGAGAGGAGAAAACATTGTTTGCAAAATGTATATGAAGCTAACAGTCATCCATCATCTTTCTAGGAAAATATTTTCTCTATATAAGTTTGGTTCAAAATTTGCATCTGGTTTATTATAAGTCCTTTAATAATTAACAAATTATCCTTCTGTTTCTGGTGAAAATTTGATCAATTTCGATTTCTTAGGTTCTAATCAAATTTCTACTACGTAGATTTTTTTTTACTTAGGCTAGCGAAAATTTTCAATCAAAACGTGTATGAGAATTGTAAATGTCACAAGATCGAGAAATGTTATCGATGCAACGTACAAATTGAAAATCAAAAGTACTTTTTTTGGTATTTTATTAAGAAATACGAAATAAAAAAAGCAGTAAAAGGTATCGAAAAGAAACAAAAGCAGTGCGAAATATTAGAATACAGAGAATTGTAAATGCAAAAAACTCGAAATTGCATTAATTGTAAATGACATAATTAAAATTGCATGAAAGTAAATGACAGGACGTCGAAATTACAGAAACGGTAAATGACAAGCATTTGAAAATACAGAATCTTAAATTGCATTAAAGATAACTGGCAAGTAATTGAAAGTATGAAAACTTAAATTGATGAATGTAAATTGCCTGAAAATAAGTTACCAGGGAAAGTAAAGAAAGCGGCAATGAGAATGGAAATTCAGATCGCCAGAAACTTCATGATTCGTCGTTCTCCGGTAGACTTTTCACTTGTATTTCTGTTGTCTCTGCCAACCAATTTCCCCTTCTTCTTCAAGCTTCGTTCTATTTATAGGCATCCTTCAATGTAACCTCCTAAGAGCAGTTAAAAAACTGTCGCCACGTTCCATGTGCACGTTCCTCGATTTTTACCTTAGCTTACGGTTTAGAAAACCGATTCCACGTTCCATGTGCGTTTTAACCGTTCCTCGATTTCTAACCTTAGCCACGATGTGAAAAGCCACTCCCCATGTTCCATATGCATGATAAGCGTTTCCCTCGATCTCGATTCCAGTTATCCAGTACAATTTCCCTTAACCTTGACTTTACACTCTATACTTTATCATCGATTTCTTACTTTCATCGAATTTCCTCTATCTTCTGATTCTCGATTTCCATTCTCGATTTATGTGTTCATACTGTCTCGTGGTCATCGAATGTCTTCCAACCATCTTTCCGATTTATCAACTTTTTAACCAATCATATAATCTTCGATTTTCTCTCTTCTGTTTTTCGATCCTTGTATCGATTTTTCACTAACAAAATGTCCCCTTGGAAGAATATAAACATTTGTACTTATTTTATATTCTTTCAAAAATAAATCCCGCCCTTAAACACTCTTGGAGCTCAAAATAACTTTTTAGGGTTCAGGGTTTCTAGGGTTTTTTAGGGTTTTTAGGGTTTTTGTTGCTTTATGTCAACTATCAAATCACATCACCTCCCACTATTGCAACGCGCACGCCACGTATTAATTACCCTCTTCATATTCGTCATTTCAAATATCCTAGTTGTCCTCTTTAAATACTCCAATCAATTTTACCTTGTTTTTTACCAACAACCTAACCCATCTTTCTTCGTCACACCTTTTCTTCGTCTTCTCCCTTTCCACAACTGTAATGGCGACTTCCAAATCTTCCGACTTCTCCACCCCACCACTTTCATCGGTAACTTCGACTCTAATAGAGATAAATGGTAAAAAGTTTGCTCCGGTTCCCTTGTTGGAAGAAGCTTCGCAGAAAATTGCCGAGACTCAAGTACTTATCCCTTACGCAGTTGATAACGTAGATTACGCATTTGGTGGTCCCATCCGCTATTGTGGTGGATCGTTTTCTTCTTCTATCTGTCTTCCTTCAGAAAGTAAAGCCCTTATTCATAAATCTAAGGTCCGGATTGATTTTCTAAATGTTGTTTCAAAAGTATATCGAACAGGCCCTCCCCACAAAAAGCCTTTATACATCAGATGGTTTGATAGAGTAAAGACCAAGTTTGGGAATCACTGGAGAGATGTAGGGATTTTCGATTTTCTACATATATCTCGATGCGATCTCTCGTTCTTGGATATGTCTATGTTTTTATCTGCGGTCGATTTATGGAATAAAGATTTACGCGCAATGGAGCTCCCTTGTGGTCCCCTTTCTCCCACTCTTTTTGAGGTCGCTGCGATCACCGGATTAAAGCCCACTGGGGAAAAATATTTTAAGAGTGCTTTCCCTTCAGCTGATTCTCTCAAATCAAAAATCGATTGGGATTCGAAAGCCCATGGCCACTTCATCGAAAAACATTTCATTGACGATCAATCGGTAACTGTTTCTAACGAAGAGCATGTTGCTTTTCTGGTATATTGGCTCTGTACCCATGTATTTTGTCCTCGATCCATCCAAATCTCATCCCATTTTTATAATCTGGCCTACCTCCTCCACACTGGTCAACCCAGGGTTTGTTTGGCGAAGCTTTTACTGGCCCATGTTTATACCACTTTCGATGAGGCTGTCGATATTCTGAATACACAAAGACCCTCAGGGAATTTCTCAGGTCCCATCTGGTTCATTCAATTATGGCTTACTTTGATTTTTGAAAGTATCATTCCCCCAACATCCAAAGTTTCCCCAAGTTTAAATTTAGAAGGTGCTCGATTATCGTCTCGACATTCTCATCAAAAATCCTTCGATGTGGTTAGTTATCGAACTTACCTGAAATTTTTGTTAACTCGATTTCATTTTGAGTCAAGTC